AACTACCTTGCTTCGCGCGGGAGGGAGGAAACTAAATTCAGACATAGACACGGTCCAGAATCGCCTTCTCCTCTAATAATTTAAATAAACCTGAAAGCTTCTGCGCTTCGCGCGGATGGGCGAAAATGAATTCAGACAAGGGTTAAGAGTAATAATTAAGGGTAACGTAAAGGTTCCGCGTTTCGCGTGGAAGGGGGGGGGGGGGGAACTGAATTCAGACAAGGATTTAGAGTAGAGAACGGTTCAACGAATCGTCTTCTTTCTCTGATAATTTAATGAAACCGAAATCAGACAAGGATTAAGAATATAGAACGGTACAGCGAATCGTCTTCTTTCTCTTATAATTTAATGAAAAGTCAAAGCTTCCGCGGGAGGAAACTGAATTCAGACAAGGATTTAGAGTCGAAAACAGTACAACGAATCGTCTTCTTTCTCTAATAATTTAATGAAACAAAGGCAGCTTCCGCGCTTCGCGTGGGAGAGGGGGAAAACGAATTCAGACAAGGATTAAGGGAGGGGAAAACTGAGTTCAGACAAGGATTAAGAGTAATGAAACGTCAAAGCTTCAGCGCTTTGCGCGGGAAGGGGGAATCTGAATTCAGACAAGGACACGGTACAACTAATCGTCTTCTTTCTCTAACAATTCAATGAAACGTGGAAGCTTCCGCGCTTCACGCGGGCCGGGGGAAACTGAACTCAGACAAGGATTAAGAGTCGAAAACAGTACAACGAATCGTCTTCTTTCTCTAATAATTTAATGAAACGTCAAAGCCACCGCGCTTTGCGAGGGAGGGGGGAATCTGACTTCAGACAAGGACACGGTACAACCAATCGTCTTCTTTCTCCAATAATTCAATGAAACGTGGAAGCTTCCGCGCTTCGCGTGGGAGAGGGGGGAAACGAAACAAGACAAGGATTAAGAGTCGAAAACAGTACAACGAATCGTCATCTTTCTCTAATGATGTAACGAAACATAAAAACTTCCGCGCTTCGCGAATGGGGACATTTTTCTTCGAAAATAACTTCCTTTAGCTTTTTGGTTCCTGCCTCTCAACCTTGCTTGAGCTTTGTCTGATCTAACCACTCAAATAGCATTCCCTTCTTTGAACCATAAACCTGCCACCTATGCAATTTCTGGGATACCTTGGAAAATGATCGTTTTGCTAAGCATTATGGAAATAAAATTTAAAAAACAGAATTCTTGCTACCCTGCATGCATATAGGCCTACTTTCTATTGAAGAAATATTGACACCCGTCGCCAACGCAACAGTCAGAAGTCAATGTCGATTTATTGAAAGCACCTGTACATGATATCAGAAGGATCATGCTACTTCCTGGCTGATCGATGCATTATTGTACGGCAGTGTCAAGGAACAAATTCAATTTATCACCGCCGTTATAAGATCTTGACCTCTAAGAACAGAGGTCAATGGATGTCAACAACTTTCGACAGTCATAACTGCTTTTGGAAGAAGCGAGTTTTTTTGTAGATGTTGTTTTGATTTTGTATAGACTCAGTCGAACAAATTCGATTTATAAAGCTACGTCTCAGCGGCCTCCAAACTTGATTTTATAAATGAAATAAGCAGAGGACTTGAAGTTGTATAGCGATTTTCATCATGAATGTATAAATAGCACGAATTTACATTGCATGGTAGTTCAATGTCCTCGCAAGCTCCTAATGACTCTTCTGTTTGTGAGACAACCTTTACGATTAAACAAAAAACGAAGGCCATCATGAAAGGGCACAAAACATTGGTGTAAAATCGGTACAAATAGATAAAATTTCGAACAAATAGTCGAACAAATTCGATTTATAAAGCTACGTCTCAACGGCCTCCAAACTTGATTTTATAAATGAAATAAGCAGAGGACTTGAAGTTGTATAGCGATTTTCATCATGAATGTATAAATAGCACGAATTTAAATTGCATGGTAGTTCAATGTCCTCGCAAGCTCCTAATGACTCTTCTGTTTGTGAGACAACCTTTACGATTAAACAAAAAACGAAGGCCATCATGAAAGGGCACAAAACATTGGTGTAAAATCGGTACAAATAGATAAAATAAAAAGATAGCATGGTTGTGTTTGGTACAAGAGGTTGCTCGCTCTGCTTGTTAAAATTTCTTAACTTCACTAACCATGCTATAATCTTCAACTAAGTGAAAATATAATTGCCCATTTTGTTTTTTTGTTTGCTTTTTTAGTTCAGAGAGCTATATTTATTTTGTTAGTCATCGTGCAGGACCATTATGAGAGAATCTTTATCTATTGACTATAAATTAAAAATTATTTTTAACGCTTGAAAGAAGCAGTGCCCCATTATCGGAGGATTAATCAAACATGCCAATTATGTGGCATTGCGAACATATCCCCAAGATAATAATGCGAACTTCTTTTCTGATATTCTTAGAAACTGTCTCAAACTTTATCCTAATATGGGAATATCATTTTAACTATAGGTGTGTAAGGAAAAGTAGTCATTGGTAAAGAAAGAAAAGGTATTTTTTTAAATTAAAAGTTACACGTAAACTATGTGTTTTCTGTTTCATCGTAAGTGTTCCATCGAGCTCGTCCGTATTATATGGAAATACAACAGACCATTTTAATGATAAATGTAGGATTAGTTTCCTTACGCTTTCCATTTCCCCATGATTTATTTTTACTTGCAAGGTTTTTGCTTTTAATCGGATATAAATGATGTTAACTTTGTTAATCTCATCCTCTGTTTATGTTCTGTTTCTGTGAAAAACATTTCAGAACGTGCCTATGAGCTTCCGAAGTATTTTCTAAAGTAATTGCGTTATAGCTTTAACATCTACCACCGCTATCAGCGCACAATGCATTTCCGGGAAGAAATTATACCGGTACACATCATATCGAATTTTAGACAATGGCGTAGCCACCTACCTACGGAGAGGGGTGGGGGGCACTGGATGCATATGCTCCCTCCTGAATCGAATGTCGACATTAAAAATAAAAGTGAGAAAAAGGAGAAAAGTAAGGGAGAGTGATACATTGACAAGAGAGAGAGAGAAAGAGAGAAAATAAAAGATCTACCCAGTGGTCTTATTAAAATTAATTCAACATTCATTCACGGAGTATGACCCTCACCCCCTCCTGCCCCCCCCCCAACCCCGTCGATGATACCAGTTCCCCCTCAATGGCTGGATCCACGCTACACCTCTGTTCATGGATACACCATCGTGATAACGTGTGGGATGCGATCCAAAGCAATGATGCTGATGCTGATGAAGCCTTCTAGGTGGTCAGGAGCCTGCTTTCCATCCGTGATACCCCGGTCACACCAGCAAGACCCACACCAGGGACCCGTTTCACAAAACCCTTTTTTCAATGACAAATGAAAAAAATCCGCTGATAACCAATCACAAGCAAGGATTTCACTAGCTTATAACAAAAAACTGTCATCTGTCACTGATGACAAGTTTTGTGAAAGGGGGCCCTGATCGACCGAACATACAAATTACGATACCCGACTAGGCAAAGGACCGGTTGGTTTGGACGAGTCGGTGTGGAGTCGGTTTGCGTTGTGACTGAGGTATCATGATTTCATCTCAATCAACTCTGGAGAAAAAGGATGAAAACAAACTTCAATGTGAGAGATCATCATTAACTGGGACCCTTGCCAGGAACATCTTCTAAAGTAAATGAGATAATCACATCTTGACACCGTAATGGGAGACACAAGTAGAAATGAGATATACATGGGAGAGCCGAGATGACGAGGGTCAATGCCTTACAAAAGGCACTGCTCCAACCGTAGTATTCTTTTTTTTTCTTTAAAAAAAAATCTAACATTATTTATTTCTACGTGGGCTACCTTGTCCAAAAACCTCGATGCCTTTTTATGTGTGCCCCGCAAACCATTTTTATTGTAGAACACAATTTAGTTTACCCCCCCCCCCCCAATATTTATTTATTTTACCAATTTTGTTAATGCATTAATTCACTGTTGTATGCAATTTTTTACTTCTATATCATCAGATCTATATCATATATATTACGTTATATTCAAACAAAAATTTTAATCATGGTTTGTGAAATAAAGACGAAATGAAACGAAATGAAAGGCATGAAGGGTATTTAGCACACGTAAAGATCGTTTACGAAGAATATCTTGCAAAATCACCCCCTCCCCCCAAACAATGCAACATGTATCCAGAGGGTACAGTGTCGATATTATAAAAAAAATCAGCTGCGAATTGCCGGCATGAATTAAATTGCAGAAAAATCATATTCACATTAATTTTACAAAGTATTTGTTGAATGAAATTCTGCTAATGACTTCAACTATACATACATTTTTTCTAAGGCCAGTGTCGTATAGCTATGATTTGTCAACCGAGAAGAAAGGGGTGGGGGACAAACACTTTAAAAAAGTGTCTGCAAGAATCGTCAAACCTTAAAGAGGCAGAAACTTGGAGACCTGCACAATATAGCGGATGGTTGTTAGATTAGAACACGGGGTAAAGAGATAATGATTGTGTGTAAGTTTAACCTAAATCTTCGTATCATAATTTTCTCTTTTGAAACATATCACTAGATGTAAATATGTCAGGGAAACATGTTCAAAATAAGATGTTTCACCAACTCTAGACATTGGCAAATCCAGGGGGCTGCTTGCTTGTCAGACATTTTTTGGGGGACACACACAAAAAGTACTTGAATCCCCCTCCTTAGCAAGAGTTTAGTTTGAGCTCTAAAGAGCTTGTAATTCCAAGACTATAAAACGGTAGACTATGATTAGCGTGAAATGCGATGACAAAGAATTAAGGAAAATTCAAGTCGACGACAATTTCAATACCCTATTGGGTGTCAATGTTGGCTAGTTTCATTAGGTACTGGACAAGCCTGAAATTGCCTTTGTTTGATTTGGGGGGAAAGTATTGCGATCATGCTATAGGTGATTACAAAACATCATCTAGTTATAAACACGCGTCTCGAGCAATCGTATTTCCAAGACCAACTTCGGACCAAGCCCTTTAATCTGCCTCCATGCCGCAGCATACCTAGGGACGAGTTTAGACCAAAGAGTTATCTATAGGCCTAGCTAGCTACCTATTGACGACGGTGTTGTAATCGCCTGCGCGCGCGCACGCTGGCGCCACTCGAAACCTCGCGTCAAGCTGAGATAAATATTTCTCCTTGTTGGTCGGGACGGCGACATTTCAGTAAACGTTCCCTCATCATCATCATTCGTCCATCTCTCGGTTTATGAGTTGGTGGATAAGACTGCACTAGAAAGAAAGATGGGAGACTGTTTGATATTTCATCTGGTCTGCCTGGCCTGTGTCACCCTGGTGATCGCCTACGATGTTCCGAATCTCGACAAAGGTAAGTCAATTTTCTTTCTCATTTATTTAAAGCGTTTTTCTCACCTCATGTCCAATAATCAAGCGTTTGTAGATACATAGTGCTAAAACACGGGTGATAGTGTTAGTCGTTAGAGTAATATAGCACATTTATTCAATGTCCTCTTACCTGCTGATAATTGGGACATCTCTTGATTATCCTCTTAAATATTGGTGTTTATTGAATGTCAATACGACGAACAGACCTATTCGGTATTACGCACCTCACGAATGACTTTATCCTATATCGTATTCATCACAGGTAGACATACTATGCATGCAAGGGTACCGCTAGACCATTTTAATGTAGGAGGGGGAGGGGTGTAGGGTCGTGACCAAATTTGATGACAACTTGGTCCAAAAAAATCCAACAAGCCTCACCCCCTAAACGAACTGTGACAATAATTTGTAGATCAAGTTACTGAGAAGGCTACAAAAAGATACAATAATTTCAACTGATTGTTCTAAAGGGAAGGGAAAGGGCTGCTCTCATTCTAAAAGCCCCCCCCCCCCTGGGTATATTAGACTGGGTTGCGGATAGAGCTATAGATCATTCTAAAACTCTCATATTCGGGCATCAGCTAGGGTGCAGCCGTTATGATGAAAACAATCAATAAGTAACCTAAAACAACAAACTTTTATTAGGGATAATGATAACACTTATTGTCAATATGACCGTTTCATATTTTTTTTAATAAGAAATAGACAAACAAAAGAAAATTAACAATGTAACATCAGTGGCTAAGAGCGACGAATCTTTTTGCTGGCGTGCTTCGCGTATGTTGTGGCTAAATTGAATGCCGTTTGTCATTAAAAGGACAGGGACAAATTAGATCAGAAGTAAAGGTTGTGTTTTTGCGATAATTATGGTAAATCAGTAATGTGGAGTGAAAAGGTTGGTATTTTGGCAAAGAATGACAGCCCCCCCCCAACAAAAAGTGCCCCTATGCCCATTCTTGATATAAAATATGTCTGGCATATTGAATAACTGCCACTTGGGAAATCGTTTTATTATCTTTATGAAGATTTTTGGGATATTCGTGAAGTTATTTTCATGTTCGAAATAGTTTTGACAAGTTTAGTTTCTCTTCTTCTCCTTCTTTTTTGTAGGGGAGGAGGGGGGGGGGGGGTAAAACTATGCACGCCATTTAAACTGTTGACCATATCACTTATAACTTGTTACAACGTGTATAGCATCCCAAGACGGTTCATGACGGGGGTAATTAACGTTTCATTTTAACTTCGGACACAGTTCAAAAGAAAACGGCTGTATGTGTGAATTGGATGGAATAGGTGACATCAGTTTTCATTTAAAATGTTACATAATGATTCAGCTATAAGAATCCAGAAAGCATTTAAAATATCCCTTAAAGTCTATGATCATATTGGTCTAAATTAAAAAAATACATTGAACTTTTGTAGTTGTTTCCCTATACTGTTTTTATATATATTTTTCCGGATGTGGTTCACAAAATGTGCCTAGAATCAAAACAAATTTGGACTACTTACCGACTGACTTCAGACCACAATCTACTTCATATCAGGAAAGATCTTTCCGTTTACTCTTTCCGATTCTTCAACTGGATAAATAGTGAACACATCTTACCCTAGTATAACCCTAGTTTAAAGTTCAATATAGGCCTACTTCATTATAAGCGACATAACAAATATTGAGAGCATTCCCATCAAGGTAATATCTACAGGAGAATAGTAAAATATATTAACTTTTGCAAAAAGATTTTAGACTTAGAATTGGAATAAGTTCACATGAGAGAGAGAGAGAGAGAGAGAGAGAGAGGGGGGGGGGGGGAGAAAGGATCAGGGGAAAAGCGAGAGATCAGGAGGCATGATATAGGAGAGGGATAAATAAAGAGGGGAAGAAAAGGAGGGTGAGAGAGAGAGAGAGAGAGAGAGAGAGAAAGAGGGGGGGGGGGGGGTGGACACGAAGACAAAGAAGGTGGATATTATCATATTCATAATATTCAGTTAAGGAGCGGACAGAGGGGTATACCGTATACCACTTGAAGGGATACAACCCCCCCCCCCCCCCCAAAAAAAAAAAAAAAAAAAAAAAAAAAAAAAAAAAGAAAAGAAAAGAAGCAACAACAACAACAAAATATAAAGGGGAAAAACGGAGAAAAAACATTCACATGCTTCCTGGCATATTTTACTTCGTGATTCGGCTTTAATTTCCACCCTCCAGTGAAGTGAAGTGCATCCAAAAGTGGGTGAAAAGGGATCGAAATGTGAAAACTACATAATGCTCAGTCGCATTCCTCTCATGAATATATTTACTTAAAATTTTGGTTAAACGTCTTCAATAGTAAAGTAGTAATGATCGTTAATGCTGAAATGTTGAGATACTTTCAAACACTCGGTCGCTGCGCTTACTCGCATAATGTTTTTTTAAATTGGGAACCGACCAAGTCTTTAATTTCTCGATTAGAAGTGGTGTTAAAAACCGCATATTCCGGGTTGAATTTTGGACGTGGGCGAAGGCGGGGGGGGGGGGGGGGGGCAGTTTCATAGTTTGTAGATAAAAACGAAAGTTGGAGATGATATGAAAGAACTTTCCATTTCTGTAAGAATCAAGCCAAACTCTTCGTGCTGTGCTTAATGATTGAAAAATGGTTTGATGACGATATCAATTTATGACAGAAGCTTCTTTTTTCCGTCCTACATGATAGAACTTCTTTTCAAAATGTGGGAATAAGAAATGGCATTTGCCGGTCAATACCCTTGACTTTGCTCTTGGAAACAACATATCTTCCGCACGTACTTACAAATTCGAATATACACGTAGGGATCATCATTTAATCATTGCCCATGTCATAGGTCGTAAAAGTAACGTCTGGGGAGTTTGATCGTCATTGCCAAGGTCAAAGGTCGGGGAAGCTAGCCTTGCCAGGCCAGGGCCGGGCTAAATCTTAAACTTTTTTACTCCTGTTTTTTTTATTTGGAGTTAAGTCTACCTTGACACCAAGATAATCATGGCACGTCTTTCATCGTTTTGGGGATTTTCCCCAAAGGGATTATTGTTATTCGGATGTTCATGTGTTATCTGAGAATCAACGATGACAGTTTGATGGTTACTTTCGAGATCGTTTACATCTTAATCTGGAATTTAATCAATATTCAACCCTCTCAGCAATCTCATGACTTGTGATAAACAAGTCAGAGAAAATAAATTACTTATGAATGCTGTTCCAAAGTAAGTTAGTTGGTCATTTGCGGAATGAGGTGGGGAGGCTTGGGGTCTTCAGCTGTTTTCCCTCTGAGAATTTGAAAACTATCAATTTTTGGAAAACCATAACCTCACATGATATCAGCAGGACGAGATATTAGGTACTGTAAGACATAATTGAATAATGGCATATACTTCTTCAAAATTAATCTTTGTTTGCCGCCGCCTTCCCAAAGTTATCTCGCTCGCGACGCTCGCTCGTTCAACTTTTTAACCCCCCCCCCGGAAAGTAGAAAGTTGATCCAGGAGAGACGCGACAGCCCCTTTCCCGTGGCAATACTGAATCCATGCAGTTATACAGGGTCTAAATTATCCACACAGAGACATAATATACACAGATCTCAGATAACAATTAGAAATGACGAATAATATATATTTCATTCATATATTTTAATGTTTTAATGCTTTAGTTTTAACATAGATTTCAAAACTAAAATTCAATGGCAAATTTAAACCTTTTTTTATTTTAGATACCCAGAAGTTATATTACGATGTCGAGTATCTTGTCCCGAGACCAGAAAAACACATTATGTATAGTTACTATGACCCACCAGGTGGTAATAAAATACAAATCTATTCAAATGAAAAATTAGGAAATCCTGAATCCTTCCTGTTCACTTTCTCAAATTACAAACACGACGGTCGGTAACAAACCTAAAGTCACATCAGAAAAGGAGGCATTTGCTGCTTTGGTTTCAACTATTCAAGCGGTTCATTTAATTACAGTTCTCTAATTATTCAGCTAAATGACCTGAACAACACGAAAATCAAATAATCGCTAATTGGAGAAGCAGATGCTGAAAAGGAAATGGTGATCAAAGTTCAAAAATGTTCTTCTAGCATGATAGGCAAAGCTATAATACCAAAAAATAAGCCCATCCCCACAAAGTCTGTTAGTATATAAGAATAAAATGATTCCCCGAAACAGGCAAGCGCATTATTTAGGCCTAATCAAAAAATATTATTATGTCTTACAATAACTTGGGAACATTTCTATAGATACTCAAATAATTAGCTCTTTATTCCTTCATTTCCTAGAACGAGGAGGGTAAGTGGATAACAAAAAAGGGGCGTTGATAATTTTTCAAGAACAATCGAAGCCTTTAGGTTTCGAGAATAACTGGATTCATCTGTCGCAATAATAGGAATGATCAAAGAATATAAAACTAAAATGGCTAGGCTAGACTAGCAAGCACAAGATCCGTACTCCTCACAATTAATTGTCCATGGCATTTGCCGAGCTTCTTACTGCGAACAGGTCAAGAACATTCATTTTTCCGGAGGCGGGGGATTTTGAGAAGCATCTAGCAAAGTAGACAAAAATTAGACAGCAGATGCTGTGAAGATCTTTCACGAAATGTTTTGAGTTGTGGTTTGTAATGAGAAAATTGCTTTGATTCTTTGAATTTGATGAATAGATGAATTCTTATTTCTGCTTACTTGGCAAGTGGGACATTAATACTGACGATCAAGAATATCGATGAAGAAGAAGAAGATGAAGATGAAGCAGAAAGAGAAGGAGAAGCTGACTACATTGTCACTATTAATGTGTATAGCACTTCACTTTTAAAAGCTTGGACATGATGTAAGAGAAAGTGAGATATTGGGAGGGGTGTGGCCCAGGGAATGTAATGTGGAATGCGATTGATATTAACAATTAAAGCGGAAATAATAAGCATATCATGATAAATTATATTTTGGAGAAATACCAAGCATTATCAAACTGAATGCATTTAACA